CTCATCCATTACGTAGTTCTCGAGTATCATTAGTATGGCTCAGCAACAACAACAACCTGCTCAGGCTGCCCCGGCTGCTCCTGCCCCGGCTGCTCCTCGTTTCTGAACCCATGACGACCTGAGAACGATGCAGAACCCCGGTTCGTCAGTCCATCCATACAGCAGATCGACGCTGTCACGTACGCATTTCGTCAAAATGGATCACCATCATTCTTCAGCGAGTTCCCATGCCCTCCGGTATGTCCCTGGACTACAGCCACCGGTATATGTACGACCCAAGCGACGTCGGCCCTTTCGTCTTCGCCCATATTGCCGATACTGCAAGCAGATTGGCCATGCCATTGCGTATTGCTATCGTCGTCGCGATACACGGCACATCTTCCCTTCAACCCAGGTATGTCACCATTCTTGCTCTATCCCTACTCAATCATCAACCCGGTCAAATGCAACTGTTGCTAGTACACATGCCACCCCTATCATGCCCGCTACGCCGCATATTATGCAAGCTCCCCCATCCAGCAGTAGTACCCATTCTGTTCTTATGCTCCTCGCTGCCATATCCCTATCACTCACTCGTTCTGCAGCCAAAGTTGTTCCCCTGCTAACATCTCTCACATTTAGTTTGTTTGCTACACTACACGCTATACACAAGGCCCTCCACGTTCCTTCAGCCACTCCATCCCACAGACAATCCCACTCCCAGTCCCCGCCCCACCTTTCGATCAACAGCCTAGGACTCACAACCCTCCATATCCCTTCATGTCCGTCCAGATACATGCGTTACCCAGTTTTAGATCGCCCAACATTCCGTCCCACTGACACTCCCCTACAACCGCTTTCTCCCCGGTCTGACCACAAAGTGTCCTAGCCTTTTCGTTACCCATCCCGATCATGTCCACCCCGTTCCGACCAAGCAATCCGTTTCAGACCCCAAATACAGTATATCCCGCAAGCACGCACTCCAATAACCAGTACAAGTAACAATGATTAAACCGCCACATGGTGAGCGAGTCCTTTTCGGTTGAACCGTCCCAGAGAGACGAGAGTCAAGAATTATTACCGTCCACAATGAGTGACGCGATGGAACGCATCCCCTTTACCGTCCAATACATGTATTGAGACGCGAACACATACATGTACATTTTCCCGCTCCACAAGAGAGACAACTCCTTCACACATTCTAGATGCATGTGTCTGTCTTTTTACGAACACCCGTCCCGTAGACACGAGGACGTGTCTCAACGGAGGAGGGGCGAGTGTAGTATCTCTAGCTCTATCAGTATCACTGAACAGTCATCACACAACCTCCTGGTATTACTAGCTACTTGTAGTTCACAGGTACATGCTAAGTACTTCTCACGCGCAACCACTTACTTTGAAGTAGGACTACTAGACAACCCTGCCTGCAGACCGGTACGGCCTGACCTGTTGCATTCATGCTGTAAATATACATTACATTGATTCCTGTGTAGTCTGTTCCCCCTCACTGACCCTTTTGATCACTTGCGAGATGCCTTCCCGATTGTATGCATCCAACAGGTTACAGCTTTCTTCCCCGAACCCATGTTATTGATCAGCCCTAGCTCACACACATTCAAATGCCTTTTCCTTAGATCTTCCAACAGTTGTCTTCCTAGTAATCTTTATGCCCCATTACCCTGCCTGCCATTCACATTAGTTTCCTCCATACTTTTAGATTGCATTCCTGTTGTGTAAATGTTGCTCGCCACTTAGGTCCATTCTTCCTCCCACACTGTTTCTTGTTCTCCTGCTTTCTTTTGCCCTCACTCCCAGCTGCTCTCTCTCCCTGGCCTATATAACCCGCTGATTCTTCTCAGTTCTGTGTGGAATTGATTTCGAGAGTAAAGAGTTGTGAAGCCTCAGAGCTTGCAAGTTCCTCCGGCTAGTGCTGTCAGCCTGTTACACTTTCTGGTATAAGTCCGAAGTGCTTCAGACACGAACAGGTTGGCAGACACTACAACTACACCGCTGTTTGTCAATTCTTTAGCAGGTCTTCAATAAAACATAAAACATGTTTGCCATAATCACCCCCCCCCCCCCTCGTTCCCCGACTTCGTCGTTATTTGAACCTTACCTACTGGCTAAAGACCAGCATTCGGGGTTAGAGATACATGTACATGTATCAATGTAAATAATATGATGAATGTGTACAATCATGTAATTTTTAAATACAATCCATGTACCGTACATGTAGATGTCAGCTGTGATGACACGACGGGAATATTCTGGTCTCGTGCCCTGTGGGAGGACCTTTCATTGTTAAAACTACTTAAAAAGTTCCCAGTAGGTTGCCTGATAACCGTAGTAATACGTCAAACTCAGAGTTGCGACACACTCAGCGGCTTCCAATCTCTATCTCTCTTGTGCAAAGTTTCCAGTTAACAGTATCTTTCATCCGGACACGGCATCTGTGGGCTCATGCACTTCAAGTAGTGACTGGAAGTCCAAAGCCAAAGCCTGCAAAGGGCAACGCTCGCAGCCAGACGTGGAATGTTCTGAGTGTGAAACATGTACGCATGGACATGGACGAACATTGACGTTTCAAATAATTTGCGGTAGAGATGGCTGTTTGATGACAGTACAAAATAATTCTCTCCAGACCTCCCAATCGTAGTCTCTTGGAGCCAGCTCCACCGCACTTACAAAATGCGCCGGCGGTACATTGTACATGTACATTGTACAATAGTCATGTACATGTAGCTTGGAAGTATTAGTTCATGTTTACATTGTGTGTACGCTTGCCAACCCTGGGTATTGTCGTCTAGTTATACAGTCAAGTACATGTACCGGTACATGTACTGTACTTTGATTCGAACAAAAAAGATTGTGGAATACGCATTCCATTCGCCTTCATTACTCCGCCTGTTCCATCGCGATATCATACTCTGTCACCAGTACGCTTATCACTGGACGTCCCATACCAGAACTCCCCAAGATAATGTCAACTACTGTACACTGGACATATCACGAAGTTGAAAGTTTAGTTTGACACCTACATGTACTTGAAACTGCCATCCACTTTGCAAAGTTCCGCTCCTGCCTCGAAGTAACTTACAACTTACAATGTACATGTACATGTACTAGTACTTTCCATCAGGACAACTAACTGTTACTAAATACATTATGTACATGTACATGTACATTGTACATATGTGGGTAAAAAGAACTACATATACTGTACATGTACGTACTGTATAAGTACACATTTTCGTTTACGAAATCTTTCGTTAGATCACTCCACCAGCAAGTTCGTTACGTACTAAAGAAATTTTCGTTTTGGTCGAGGTCTGTCACACCCCGAAGCTAAACTAAAGCCTAGTAGTAGTAGTAAAGGTTGGTGATTGGATCACCAGAGTATGCGTTACCAGTACAGGCAGAGGTGTGACCTTGTGAGCACCAAGCTGCTTAGCAGGATACCACTACTGCACTTCGGGTGGAAGCTTCCAAACTGGCAACACCTTCTCCACACATACATGTAATTATATTGATAATAATCATGTACATGACATTAATTTTGTACTGATTGTACAGTACTGTATGTACTAGTACTCGGAAGTACTAGTAGTACACTCCATATGCAGTCACATTATCGGATCTCACGCCATGCATCCAGCAGCGCATCTAGTATCTACTATTCCCGTATGTCACATGACTGTCGCCTTGGAGTCGACCAATGACAGATCAAATTACGCGGGCTGGAAAGCGCGATCCTGCCTGATGAATGGTGATGGAACTAGTTCCACTGCCCGTCGTCAAGTGACGACGGGCAGTGGACGGAATCCACTGCCCGTCGTCACTTGACGACGGGCAGTGGACAGAATCCACTGCCCGTCGTCACTTGACGACGGGCAGTGGACAGAATCCACTCATGAGTCTACCATTTCAATGACAAGCTTCTGTGGTCTGAAAGTACATGCAAAAGTCGTGTACTGAGTCTGTAGTCCGTGTCCGGTTGTCGAAGTCACTCTCACTCAGCTCACACTGACACAGCCTCATACAGCCATACAGGACTCGAGTCAAGTCACAGAATGGTTCATGTAAACTCAAACGTCAAAGATTGTGAGTGATCTCCTTGGCTTGGGTGCATACGGGAAACACGTTCCAGTCACTCATACTCGGTCAGCACCGCTGCTCATCCAGCCCTTGCCGCTATCGCGGCGCGGGCAGGATTCCGCGGTACTGCCCTCATACTCGTGCAGGAACCTGTACTTACTAGAATGAAGGAAAACATGACATTTGTAGCATTATCAGAACAGGGAAATAGACACAATCAAAGCGTTTGAGTGCTGGGCTTGCCTTCTGAGGAGATACCAGTTCCGACGACTATGAGCCAATCATGTCACCGCGTGGCGTAGATACATGTATCTACGCGCGTGCAGCTGGCGCTAGGCCACGCTTGATCCACCGCGTACCGGATCGCGGAGTACGAGTGCGGACTCCAGCGCTGACATGAGAAGTGCGCGTTTTTTCGGCCTTCCATGTGGCTGTGGCCCCTTGGCTCGCATCCACTTGCAACTCTTCCACTGGCACTGTAACAAAGACACGTTCGTGCTCCAGCTCAGCAGTGGTTAGGACTTGGGACACCGACACTACATTATCATAGTCATTTGCACAAGTGTGTAACAATGGCCAGTGCTAGTGCAGTGTCGACCCAGGCCAGGTAAACGTCCCTCGACCCACATCGGCAAATCAAAATGAGTGACCTCTTCAAGCTGACACGTGACATCGTAATTCCAAAACGACTCGCACTGCTCCTAAGTTTGTAACTAATACTGGGTACAGTACAGTGTAATACTAGTAATAGTGTCGCTGCTGATCTCTACAGCCTAGGCAGGGCAAGCTGATTAGCTTCGTACAAATCGTAGCTCAAAGCCAAAGGTTGCCATAGCATTCTATACGTTATTGATAGATCCGTCCTGAGCCTGAGGTCCGTGAGGACCACACTCGACTCGTCGAGTGGATAGAGCATTCCTGCCCTATTCCTACTCGAGAACCACTCTCATCAAGTCGACCATTCCTGACGATACATGATGTAGGTAGCAGCTGTACAGCGGGTGTGCACGGCTATAAAAGCAACCTCTGGTCGTGCTAGAAACCTGCTACGGCCTCAGTCTCCTTTCTTTGCCAGGGCTAGGACAAGGAGGGCTGATTGGCTGCAAGCGAAGTTCTCCGCAAACGTACTGTGTGCTCCCAGGGAAACGTACTCCACTGATACTTTAGGTTTAAGTTGATCACCACGAATATCTTCCCAGTTGGTATTGCTAGTACTAGCCTAGTGGTTCTGAGCGGTATTCCTTCCAGAATGACAGTAATGAAATAACCAGAAACTTACCCCTGGAGCACCCAAGACCGCTTGGTATCCATTTCTGAATGACAATGAGAAGAGGTTCACTGCAGGGCTAGCCCTAGCTGATCACCATGGCCGTAATGGTGTGTCTCTGTTTTCTTCTGTTCACCGTGATGGCTGCTGTGTTTATAGCAGATAACCCGATCATGGCTAGTCCTGCTACTGCTACGGATCACGGAACACCAAGCAATGATTTGACTCATGTACCTGAACAGCTAAGACAAGTGTGGAGTGCCAGTAGCCACCGTCAGCAGGAGATCGATATCAAGGTGGTCTCTGTGCGACGGAACGGTGCTCCACGTCATTTCCGATGTCCTGTGAGGCGCTGCTGTAGAGCACTGCGAAACCATCTAGCCACGAAGACGGGAGAGCGCTGGTCGTGTGCTGGAAATAGAGCAGGGCACCTCTCCAGTGATAGCAATGTTCTTGTACCAAACATCTCTTGGTGGACATCCACTTCATCTTCCTCTAATCATCAGCAGACATGGATTCCGTTCAACCAACACGAAACCGCGCAACCAGAGCAACAACACGGAACCGAGAACAACATTGCCAGGACAGGGTGCCGAAGAAGTCGCTATGATGGTGACTGCATCCCAGGTGCTGCTGAGCAAGCTGGTTTGTTTGCCTGTGTGATAACATTCACTCGTGCTGAGACTTCTGAACTGTCCCTGTGTTCCCCTTCCTATTTCCACGTCGTACAGCCATCCATGAACACAGACGAACCTCATCATACACAGCAATCGGCCACAAGCAATGCAATGGCTAGTGTAGTGACGTCAGACCCTCCTCCCTCCGTAATGGAGTTCCGAATGACTGATGCCCAAGAGCCAAGAATGGAAAGCAGCACTGGACAAGAGCAGCTAATAACGCCACCATCAGTAGCACCAGAGATTGATCCACAGTCACCTACGTTCGTCACTAGACCACCACCATTCGTCTTGGAGAGGCCAGGGCAGTCTTTAAGTCTCCACTGCAAAGCTGAAGGACATCCAACGCCACGTATCACCTGGTTACGAGGCTTTCGTGTCATAGGACGAGACAGCAGCAGCCGAGTAGCCAAGGGTCCTGATGGCTCTCTGCACTTCCGGGCGTTGACCCGGGATGATGAGGACACGTATCGGTGTGTTGCTGAAAGTATTCACGGGCATGAAGTAGTTACTACTAACATCTATATTCAGTAATGTTTGCAACAGGGCGAACAATGAGCGGAGAGTGTCCATTCCTAAACAAAAGTTGGTTTTTAGTTTTAAAAAGTGTAAGAAACTGTACTGATAGGGATGTTACTTCTATCAGCTCAAAATATTCTATCCAGGCCATACATCGCTTCTTCAGGTAATGAAAACAACATTTTTCTTCTTTTGAAAACTTGAGGTCTGACTTGAGGCTATAGCCATGTTTTGTGATCCTTCGCTATCAAGCACTGTCCGTAAGACTCTGAGAATCACTTTGTCTAGTGACAACCACTACTACCGGTATAATATGCTGCATTGCAAGTATCATGTACTTCAGTAGGCAAAATGATTATTGTATAAAGTTCACACAGAAATATATTGCAAGCAGAGTCTACAGTGTAAAGTGCACGTCAGCCATTGCCTTACACCATACACACGGACTTGAGCAAACTTGAAGTACACTTATACCCTCCACTTTATCGTCATAACAAAAAGAATTTATATCGTGGTTTGTTAGCCATCCATTTTCTCTTACTTTTCCAACTGTCATTATTTCATGCTAGGAGGCGAGCTTTCATTGCAGCAACGTCTAGGTCTTTTTGGCTGTGCTTGCTTGTCTAAAAGCACTGGAGCTTCCAATCGAAATGCACTATTTTTGGATACCAGGTGAAATCATCAATGTATAATCTACACGGATGTGCCTGGGTCCAGTGTTTCGGACGCACTGTAAACAGGGCCATTATCAGGGGTTTAGACTTCGGAGTCCACTTTATATGACTAGGGATGCGATGAAGCTTTTTCCCACCCTTGCTTTCGGCTTCATCAACGACTTCAACCGTATCAGTTTGGAAGGATCGATAGCTTGAACGTAGATGTACTGTACATGTACCTCCAGTGTCTTCGACATTGAAATGGGTACATGTATGTCATGACAACGCTATTGTATGGCCCCACATCGTCATAGGCTTAGATGGTTTCCCTTTATACAGTTTACACTATAGTTGGGCGACACAGTCATTCACAGGTGCTCACCAGACTGGGCCTCCTGTCGAGGACCCTCTCTTCCCCCTCCCCCCCCCCCCTCTCTCTCTCTCTCTCTCTCTCTTTCTCTCTCTTTTTCTCTCTTTCTCTCCCCCTCTCTCTCTTTCTCTTTCTCTCTCTCCTTCTCTCCTTCTCTATGTCTCCACATTCTGTATACAGTACACTAAAACTGTCGGCTAGACTAGCATTGATGGCTTAATATTATAGCGAGGATTTGACGTTCGATACCTGCAGGAGGTTACAGCCAATTTTTCTTTCCGCTTTTTCCCAACTTATCACGTGTGCATGTTTTGATAATTTCAGTAAGTGAGTATGGGCAACAATAGGGTGCCGTGGGTGGTCTTGGCAATAGCATACATTGTACGCGTAAGAGCACATTGCAGTTGATAATAACTGGTATAAGTTAGGCTCTTAGTCTTAGAAGCTTGGCTGTCTACGGCCCGGGGTGATATGTCCGGGGAGGTGGCCAAACTACGCGAAAGTGATTGATAGGCATGTGAGCGAGGGTCATGCTGCTAGTGTGAAGTAATGAGACGTCCGTGTATTGAATGGTCCATGTGGCGAGAGGGTGGTTTTATAGTGACAAGGTCCATCTACCATGTACAATGTACAAAGAGACTGACGAAAAGGCTTTGCTCCATTCATATCCCTGGCGAGTCAAGGCACACACTAGGTGACTTGCGACTACTGTCTGCGCTGGTGCTGAGGCGGAACCTGCTTTCGTGCTTATGATGCCTCTCTGTGCTGGACTTGTCACTTGTCACTTTGCTTGCCATGTCAGCAGGCTGACTGGCCTGGATTCATCCTTGTCAAAAGACTCTTATGAGGAGTGGAGCCGTAGGCACCAATAGTGGCAGTACATTGATACAGTGCTATGGGCTGAGTACTTCGCCTATAATGGCCTGTCAATAACACACCATCTCTATCATATGCCAATATAGGCAATAAATCAAACTGCATGTGCTAGTAAAGACCACATTTCAACATTATTAAATCATGCTTGTAAATCAAGCTTGGGCGTTGCCGCTTTGTGCTAACACAATGCTGACAAAACAGTGGCTTCTGTTTCTCGAGCGGATCGCCTCGCTGCCTTTCATTTACACCCTGTAGATACATGTATGACTTGCTTCGCACATGAAGCTGTTTACATCAGTCTGGAGCAGAAGTAAGTTGTGGATCTTTGACATAATTGCCAAAGGTGTAGTGAAAACAGGAAATTCCATGCAGGTGACGATGGGAACACTGGGTTTACATGCGCCGGGAAATCTTAACGGAATCATCGCCATGGCCACAATGGAATGTGCACTTATTGCATACATGTACAGTGTTCGTCATGCACAGTGTATGCCATGACCTCAGAAGACACTGCTCTCATCGGCCTGCAAAGGAGTGGAAGGTGTGCATTCCTTGGATTCTACACAACGCAGCAACGCGGATGCAACACTGGTGGCGCCACAAACACACCGTTTTCTCTTGCGATATTCCCGACGCATTTTTGCCAACACTCAATTGGCTGCATCCCTTGGCAGTATGTGCCCCTAGCCAGCCTAGTATGACTATGAGATACGAATGAAACAGTCTCCGCATGGGGGAAATATTGCATGGGGGAAATATTGCAGGGGGGAAATATTGCATGAGCACCGCTCCCTTGAGTCTTGACCGGCTCCAACACTACAGAAGCGTTATAACGTTAGAGTGTCATGTACATAGACAGAAGAACGAGCAGTTGCTGCCAGGCTAAACTCAGAGTTACGAAACAGCTGCTCGCTCTTGGTCTTCTGTCTGTGTATACAGCTCTTGAGCCCTCTACGGACGGTGGATGAACTTCACATGGTAGAGTACTAGAGTGCCATCTATGAGAATGCTGATGGCAACAGTCAACAGTCGGTTAAGTCACCGGTTTCTTGCTCCTCAACTTCCCCTTTCGCAAACATCTGACTCACAGGACTGCTTGGTGCATGTACATGTTTGTCATACTTGCCCATATGCGCATCTTCAACCATCCGCTGATGTCCTTGATCGACTGCATAACTGATAGCAGTCGTTGAGCTCCACCCCGTAAGCATAGCACAGAACAACTCAGTGTAGAATAGCCAGTATCTTTGTTAATGTCTTGGTCCATGAAAAACGGATTTTCATCCCTTCTTCGGCTTCCCCAACACCGCGCGGGCTTGCGACAAGATAGCAAGGTGACAACGCTGTGAATTACCAACGGTCCTCAGCGCTTGTTCTGCACCTCCATTATCACATTCTTAGGTCGTCGTCATGAACATGTAACCGTGATGCATATTACACAACCTATCAGCTTTAAAACGCAAAGCGGCGTACTGAGATGACAGGATAAGTGTCAGTTTCTGCAGACTGTGATAGACTTTGTATGTAGGTACATGTATATTTTTTATTTGAATTCGCAAGTACACACGAGCTACAAGCCCAAATACAGGGGAGCGAATGTGATAAAACAACAGGGAGGACAATTCAGGGCCAATTGCAGAAAGACGGGAGTAACTGAGCGTACCTGTTTAATGAGAGACTTTCCTCTAGGATACTCCCTCACCATTGCGGGGTGAACAGTCCTGGCAGAATCTCCTGCTTATCGCTGGGGTATGATGGGGAAGGTGGATAGATCTTGATCGTGGCCGTGTGTGTCATTGGAGCTTTAGTCAATTCGCATCCACCAATACACATCATACAGCCAGTACATTGTATTTCTGCGCAGCCTTCAAATAGGGGCGGAGGGAGGGAATTGGACATTTGGAGCAATACAACACACAGAACAGCAAAGCTAGGAGTGCAATGAAGCCTGTCGCATGTCTCTGCACTACACTGTCTACAGTTGAGTTGGCATGCCTTGACAAGCTGAGCACAAGGTACTACAGACATGTTCAACGGTTGCCTGGCGTTGTATGGCCAGAAAAATCAGGATATCCATGCCAATACATGAACATTGTGCACCTGAGCTGTGTCGACAACGCGAAGCGAAGAATCATTGATTCGTGCGGTGGTATTCGGGAAAAGGCAAACAGTTTGCATTTGAATATCAAGAGAGAATCTTTCAGGTGCCGCATATGTTGACCTTAGTGTGTGTGTGTGTGTGTGTGTCACACTAATCCGTATGAGTACCAACACCTGTACAATGTACGAGTAGGTCTGCGTATGTGTTACGCTCGTGTACATGTGCCCTGTACACGCACATGCCATGGGTAATAACCTGCAATGTTTTGTCTCCGTTTTCCGCATATTTTCTGCATACAATGTACCCCCCCCCCCCGCAACTATCGCCGAAGTCGCACCAACCTCTTCTATACAAATTGAATGAATGTATAATGTACATGTAGATCTACAATGTATTGTTTACAAAATATCCGAAGCTCCCTGATGTCGTCACCTGCAGTATTTGTGCATTGTAAAGGTACATGTACATGTACCTTTACAATACATCATGATTGCCACTGAACATGTTCACTAGTGCAATAACATCGCATACATCATGGTCCTGCACCAGCATTCTATTTCTAATAATAATAATTCGACGGGGTTCGCGTACCGGGCAGGTCAAGAACAAGGAGTCGTACAACTCCCTGTACTGGTCAAGAACCACCTTTCCGCTTCCGTGGGACGCCACCACCCCATGATCAGGCGTCAGGACCAGCATTCTATTTCTAGCAATGCAGAATAATATAATACACTGGAGTAAGCTGCGTAAACTGTCAAGAGAATATTCTCCATACATGTACATGGATGAGTTCTTTGGTACATGTACATGTACATCAATGTGGCTACGCTACACATGGCCACAAAACAATACTGTCAAGAATCCATGGGCAGGGGAGATTTCTGTACTTTGCTAGGTCAAGTGCATGGAGTATTCCGGAGCTACATCTACATGTACATGTACATGATTGTATTATTATGATGATGTGCATTTTCGCGTATATGTATACCATAGGGTGGGAGTGTCATTTCGCAAACCTACAATGTACATGTATGTACAATAATAGCACATTCATGAGTTATTCAATCCGCGGACAGTTACCTGACATGCATACATGTACATTTTATGTATGGCTGTTTCAATTATTATTACTTTATGTACATGTACATGTACATGTGAAGTACATGTATATTATGTACATGTACATGTACTTCACATGTACATGTACATTTGTACACGTATTCTACTTCTACTAATGGCAGAATAAAACCTCTTTTTAAAAGTAGGCTAAAGGATGAAACAGTTCTGTCTGCAGATTGAGTAAAAATATAAACATCATTGTCATACACCTGTGCCGAAAGCTGGGCTCACCACCCCAGCAACTAACTAATTACTTCCCCACGTCTAACCCCCAAGACGTCACGAAGTGAATACTGTAGCAATCATACTGGCCAAAGTTTCAAAAAAGAAAAGAAAAAGTGTCAAGTCAAGTCGGCGGAAAAGCGCGAACTCCGGAGCTCGGCCATTGAGATTCGTATCTTCTATTATTTTTTCACGTCTACATGTACATGTACATGTACAGGTATAGACTTTATCTTGCCCGTAAAAGAGGCGTTATCCCGGGAAAAAAACGAAAAGAATTGTCAGTTCGGGAGAAGTGTACGCTACGTCTGGGACATCTGCAGTCATTTTTC